AAAAATTAGCCAGGCGTGGTGGCAGGAGTCTGTAGTCTCAGCTACTCAGGAAGCTGAGGCAGAAGAATGGCACGAACCCGGGAGGCAGAGCTTGCAGTGAGCCGAGATCGCACCACTGCACTCCATCCTGGGCGACAGAGTGAGACTCCATCTCAAAAAAAAATCCATAAGAACTAAATATCTATGAGACCATACTAACATTAAAAAGTAATTGAGTAAGTAAATAAATGGGGTAAATGGAACAGTGCTTTCTTACAGGAGAATTCTAAATAATAAATGTAAAATTACACCTACAATCACCTGATCTTCAACAAACTTGATAAAAACAAGCAATGGGGAAAGGATTCCCGATTTAATAAATGGTGCTGGGAGAACTGGCTAGCCATATGCAGAAAATTGAAACTGGATCCCTTCCTTACACCTTATACAAAAATTAACTCAAGATGGATTAAAGACTTAAATGTAAAACCCAAAACTATAAAAACTCTAGAAGGTCCAGGCGAGGTGGCTCACGCCTGTAATTCCCAGGACTTTGGGAGGCTGAGGTGGGCGGATCACAAGGTCAGGAGATTGAGACCATCCTGGCTAACATGGTGAAACCCCCATTTCTACCAAAAATACAAAAAATTACCTGGGCGTGGTGGCAGGTGCGTGTAGTCCCAGCTACTCGGGAGGCTGAGGCAGGAGAACAGCGTGAACCCAGGAGGCGGAGCTTGCAGTGAGCTGAGATCACGCCACTGCACTCCAGCCTGGGCGACACAGTGAGACTCTGTCACACACACACACACACACACACACACACACCCCTCTAGAAGAAAATCTAGGTAATACCATTCAGGACATAGGCACGGGCAACCATTTCACGATGAAAACCACAAAAGCAATTGCAACAAAAGCAAAAATTGACACATGGGATCTAATTAAACTAAAGAGCTTCTGCACAGCAAAAGGAACTACTAGCAGAGTGAACAGACAACCTACAGAATGGAAGAAAAATTTTGCAATCTATCCATCTGACAAAGGTCTAATATCCAGAGTCTACAAGAAACTTAAACAAATTTACAAGAAAAAAAAAAACAAACAACCCCATTGGGCAAAGGACATGAATAGACACTTCTCAAAAGAAGATATTCACGTGGCCAACAAACATGAAAAAAAGCTCAACATCACTGATCATTAGAGAAATGCAAGTCAAAACCACAGTGAGATGCCATCTCACACCAGTCAGAATGGCAATTATTAAAAAGTCAAGAAACAACAGATGCTGGCAAAATTGCAGAGAAAAAGGAATGCTTTTACACTGTTAGTGACAATGTAAATTAGTTCAACCATTGCAGAAGACAGTATGGCAATTCCTCAAAGATCTAGAAGCAGAAATACCATTTGACCCAGCAATCCCATTACTGGGTATATACCCAAAGGAATATAAATCACTTTATTTTAAAGATACATGCACATGTAAGTTCACTGCAGCACTATTCACAATAGTGAAGACATGGAATCAACCTAAATGCCCATCAACAATAGACTAGATAAAGAAAATATGGTACATTCACACCATGGAATACTATGCAGCCATGAAAAGGAATGAGATTATGTCCTTTGCAGGGACATGGATGGAGCTGGAAGCTGTTACCCTCAGCAAACTAACACAGGATCAGAAACCCAAACACTGTATGTTCTCATTTAGAAGTGGAAGCTGAAGGATGAGAACACATGGTCACACGGTGGGGGAACAACATAATGGAGTCTGATTGGGGCAGGGGTAGGGGAAGACAGAGCATTGGGAAGAATAGCTAACGGATGTTGGGCTTAATACCTAGGTTATGGATTGATCTGTGCAGCACACCACCATGGCACATGTTTGCCTATGTAACAAACCTGCACATCTGCACATGTACCCCAGAACTTAAAAGATTAGGTTGGTGCAAAAGTAATTGCGGTTTCTTGCCATTACTTTTGCACCAGCCTAATAAAAGTTGAAGGAAAAATAAATAAATAAATGTAAAATTATCTCCTTATGCAATACTTACTAATACAAAGAGAAAAATAGTAACTTACGGTGAGCAAATCTGGCATATACCACCTTCACCAAGTAGTCAAGATTCAAACCATCATTAATAAGACATTTCACCATCATATATCACATGGCCACAACATCACTTTTTTTTGTTTTTTGAGACAGAGTTTCGCTCTTGATGCCCAAGCCAGAGTGCAATGGCCTGATCTCGGCTCACTGCAACCTCTGCCTCCTGGGTTCAAGCAATTCTCCTGCCTCAGCCTCCCAAGTAGCTGGGATTACAGGCACGCACCACCACGCCTAGCTAATTTTTTGTATTTTTAGTAGAAATGGGATTTCACCATGTTAGCCAGGCTGGTCTCAAACTCCTGACCTCAGATGATCTGCCCAGCTTGGCCTCCCAAAGTGCTGGGATTACAGGCTTGAGCCACTGCACCCGGCCCACAACATCTCTTTCATGGTATTTGGTCCCAAAATGCATACCATTGATCTAATCATGAGAAACAGTAGATAAACTCGAATTGAATGAACTTCTACAAAATAACTGACTGGTATCCTTTAAAAGTATCAAGGTTTTGCCACTGCTCAATGAAATAAAAGAGGACACAAATGGAAGAACATTCCATGCTCATGGATAGGAAGAATCAATATCGTGAAAATGGCCATACTGCCCAAGGTAATTTATAGATTCAGTGCCATCCCCATCAAGCTACCAATGGCTTTCTTCATAGAATTGGAAAAATGTACTTTAAAGTTCATATGGAACCAAAAAAGAGCCTGCATTGCCAAGACAATCCTAAGCCAAAAGAACAAAGCTGGAGGCATCACACTACCTGACTTCAAACTATACTACAAGGCTACGGTAACCAAAACAGCATGGTATGGGTACCAAAACAGAGATAAAGACCAATGGAACAGAACAGAGCCCTCAGAAATAATACCACACATCTACAAGCATCTGATCTCTGACAAACCTGACAGAAACAAGAAATGGGGAAAGGACTCCCTATTTAATAAATGGTGCTGGGAAAACTGGCTAGCCATATGTAGAAAACTAAAACTGGATCCCTCCCTTACACCTTATACAAAAATTAATTCAAGATGGATTAAAGACTGAAATGTTTGACCTAAAACCATAAAAACCCTAGAAGAAAACCTAGGCAATACCAGTCAGTACATAGGCATGGGTAAGGACTTCATGACTAAAACACCAAAAGCAATGGCAACAAAAGCCAAAATTGACAAATGGGATCTAATTAAACTAAAGAGCACAGCAAAAGAAACTACCATCAGAGTGAACAGGCAACCTACAGAATGGGAGAAAATTTTTGCAATCTACCCATCTGACAAAGGGCTAATATCCAGAATCTACAAAGAACTTAAACAAATTTACAAGAAAAAAATCAAACAACCCCATCAAAAAGTGGGCAAAAGACATGAAAAGACACTTTTCAAAAGAAGACATTTATACAGCCAATAGACACATGAAAAACTGCTCATTATCACTGGCCATCAGAGAAAAGCAAATCAAAACCACAATGAGATACCATCTCACACCAGTGAGAATGGCAATCATTAAAAAGTCAGGAAACAACAGGTGCTGGAGAGGCTGTGGAGAAATAGGAACACTTTTACACTGTTGGTGGGACTGTAAACCAGTTCAACCATTGTGGAAGACAGTGTGGTGATTCTTCAAGTGACTAGAACTAGAAATATCATTTGACCCAGCCATCCCACTACTGGGTATATACCCAAAGGATTATAAATCACGCTGCTATAAAGACACAAGCACACATATGTTTATTGTGGCACTATTCGCAATAGCAAAGACTTGGAATCAACCCAAATGTCCATAAATGACAGACTAGATTAAGAAAATGTGGCACATATACACCATGGAATACTATGCAGCCATAAAAAAGCATGAGCTCACGTCCTTTGTAGGGACATGGATGAAGCTGGAAACCATCATTCTGAGCAAACGATCGCAAGGACAAAAAAACCAAACATCGCATGTTCTCACAGGTGGGAAATGAACAATGAGAACACTTGGACACAGGGTGGGGGGAGGGGGGAGGGATAGCATTAGGAGATATACCTAATGTAAATGACCAGTTAATGGGTGCTGCACATGTATACATATGTAACAAAGCTGCATGTTGTGCACATGTACCCTAGAACTTAAAAGTATAATAAAAATAAAATAAAATTAAAAAACAGAAAAAAAAATACAATAAAAGTATCAAGGTTTTAAAGAAAAAAAAAATTGAGGAATTGCCACAGATTAGAGAACACCCAGGAGATTTTACAACAAAATAAAGAGTGGGATCCTGAATATTGGATCCTGGACCAGATCCAATGAAATACATTAGTGGGAAAACTGGCAAAATTTGGTTAAGATCTACCGGTTAAAAGATAGTAATGTTAATTTTCTGGTTTTGATAATTGAACTATGATTATGTAAGATGATAACAGACGAAACTGGGTGAAAGGTATATAGGAACTCTTTGCTGTAGTTTTGTACATCTAAAATCAATTCAGGCCGGGCACGTTGGCTCACGCCTGTAATCCCAGCACTTTGGGAGGCCGAGGTGGACGGATCACTCGAGGTCAGGAATTAGAGACCAGCCTGGCCAACATGGTGAAATCCCCTCCCTACTAAAAACACAACAATTAGGTGGGTGTGTTGGCCGGCATCTGTAATCCCAGCTACTCAGGAGGCTGAGGCAGGAGAAACGCTTGAACCCGGGAGGCGGAGGCTGCAAGGCGCGGATATCGCGCCATTGCACTCAAGCCTCGGCGACAGAGCGAGAAACTGTCTCTAAATAAATAAATAAATAACTCAAATCAAAACTTAAAAACTCTTCAAGTATATATAAAAAAATTGAAAAAAGTTAAACACACTTCAAGTATACACAATTCAAATAAGATCATCCTTCCAAATATACTCTGTAAGTGAGGCGAAGGTCGCCGCACGCTTGAGTGCACCTCTTTTCGTAGAGGTACCACGCGCAAGTCTTATCGGGAGGCTCTGAAGCGATGGCTTCTGGGCCCGGGGGCGGACCGTATCGCGTAGCCGGAAGCGGGGGCGCGGAGGCGGGTCTGAGGTTTGGTCGCTGCGGAGCGGGTCGCGGGCAGCTGTCTGTCTTGCTCCTTTTGACAGCCCCCAGTGCGAACGGCTGCCACCATGTCATCAGTGAGCCCCATCCAGATCCCCAGCCGCCTCCCGCTGCTGCTCACCCACGAAGGCGTCCTGCTGCCCGGCTCCACCATGCGCACCAGCGTGGACTCGGCCCGTAACCTGCAGCTGGTGCGGAACCGCCTGCTGAAGGGCACGTCGCTGCAGAGCACCATCCTGGGCGTCATCCCCAACACGCCTGACCCCGCCAGCGACGCGCAGGACCTGCCGCCGCTGCACAGGTAGGCCTGGCTGCCCCCGCGGCGGCGGCGGGCGGCGCGGCCTCCTCCGGGGACCCGGGCCCAGGCCACAGCCTGTCTTGAGCGCGAGTCTCGGTTCGGGGCGGCCTTCGCGGCTCGATTCCGCCTCTCCGGTGCTATCAAATGCAAAATGGGGATGACAGATACCTGCCCCATGACCATGAATGAGATTGTTCATGAAGTAGTGCCTGATACCTGGTGAAACTACTCGGTTCCCTGCCACTCTGAATGATTTAATTTGAATCCTCTTTCCGCCCTGCAATTCCTCGCCCTCGGTCTTCAGCCTCCTAGGCCAGTGCTTTTAACTCTTTAGGCCCTTTCTCCCCGGTGATCTCTGCCTTCACTTTCCGCCTTTCTCCCCACTGCCGTTTCCTCCTATCCGCCTCCCCTTTTCTGTCACCCATTATTTTTGTCCGCTGAGACATTCTCTGCTCCGTAAGTTTTAACTTTTTCTTGTTTCATTCCTAAACTGCACTATTTGTGGGTGCCTTCTATACTCCTTGTCACCCTTTTCCTTCTCCCCCTAATACTTCTGTTTCCTTTTGTAAAGGGCCTTTCGTGCTCACGTTTTCGCTGGTTCCCCCTTTCTGGAACTTACCTAGCTTCTCACCTCTGCTCCTTCACTCATAACATTTCTTAGGCCCCAGGCTTGCTACTGTATTGCCCAGTACCGTCGCCTTATTGGTGTGACTTTGGGTGAGAGCCTTAACCTCTGTTTCTTTTAGTCTGTAGTTTGGAAACTGACAGCATCCATCTTTTAGGCATGTTATGAAGAATAAATTGAATAATGTGTATATTCCGCTTTGCAACATGCTTGATGGATGACTGTGCTGTCCAGTACTGTGTAGTGCATGTGGCTTGTCAAATTGAGTTGCTAGATTTGCAATTTGTCCTGGTTTGCTGGGATTGTTTTAGCATTGAAAGTCCTATGTTTTAGCCCCTCCGTCCCAGGGAAACCAAGAGGTTGGTCACCCTAAGTGTGCTGTAAGTGTACAGTACACACCAAATTTTGAAAAATCTTTTTGATTAATACATTTTATATAGATTAAATTTTGGAATGGTAATGTTTTGAGTACTTGGGGTTAATAAAATGTTAAGATTTGTGCTGTTTTTCCTTTATAATGTGGCCACTAAAATTTTATATGTGGCCCACATTATATTTTTATTGGACAATGCTGGTATGTAGTATACTCTCAACAAGTATCTTTAAACTCACCTCCCAAGCACCCGCCTCCTATTCCTAACTCTACTGGAGGTGTTGTGTTTTCAGTTTAGAGCTTCTCTTTTCCTGGCAGTTATCACTCATTTTTAAATTAGGGGTTCCTGACTCTGAATGGATTTCCAGACGGTTAGACATGCCTTATTTTCCCTCAAAATCTTGTGACTATGTACATTTTTTTTTTTTAGGCAAATCCTTTGCTTTCTTCAGTTCTCAAAGGAGACGGGTACCTCCCCCACACCCCCATTAAAAGAAAACAAAACAAAGCAACAAAGACCAACAAACCTTCCATAACAGCCCAGTATTCATTTATATTGTAAAAGCCTTGATTTTCTCAAGCATGGAAAATATTTTGGCTCCCATCTGACCTGCTTTGGTTATTGCCTGAGTGGAACTGGTCACATTCCAAGTTTCAGTACTCTTTGATAAATTGTATTGGATTCCAGTTTCCCAACATGTGACCCTGCTCCTTCTGCTTACTTTTCCCAAATTTTTTTGCCTTCTGTGCCCAGGCACTTAGTTCCCTGTCTAGGCAAGCGTGGTCATGATTAGACTTTGCATTTTCTTTCTACTGTACATATGTATTGATTAACCACGGGCACACTGTGAACTTGAAAAGTCGATTTAGTCACATTTTAAATTTCACTATTTGTTGGTATTATTCTGGCAAGATTTTGGAGGATTTTTATTATTTATTCATTTATTTATTTTTTGAGACAGAGTCTCATTCTGTCTCCTCGGCTGAAGTGCAATGGCGTGATCATAGCCCACTGCAACCTTGAACTCCTGGGCTCAAGTGATCCTCCTGCCTCAGCTTCTGGAGTGGCTGGGACTACAGGTGTGCACCACTACACCCAGCTAAATTTTAAATTTTTTGTAGCGATGGGGTCTCACTATGTTGCCTAGGCTGGTCTTGAACTCCTGGACTCAAGCTATCCCCTGCCTTGGCCTCTGGAGTAGCTGGGCACTATAGGCAAGCGCCACCATACCCTTCAGGTTTTTAATTTATTTTATGAAAATCCCTCCAAAACAACAATCTTCAATTCTCCTGCTTGAAAGTAATCACTAATAATCAGATACTGTGTGATCTGATCCTTGATACTCATATTATTGCCTTTAACTGAGTAGCAATGTTAAAATTTAATCATTTAAATTAGAAAACATACATTGAAAAGTATTCATAGAAGTCCAGCATTGTAAGAACTCATCAGACCATCTAGTTATCCTAGAAGTATTGTTTGCTACTTAAAAAGCCTATGTGGAAAGATTGTACCATATTCCTTGGTAATAGTTTCCAATGTCTTTTTTTCTCTAATATGGCCTTTAAAACACTCTACTTTTAAAAAAAAAAAAAAAAAAAAAAAAAAAAAGCTTTAATAATACCAATACTGAGTTATCCATAGCATTAGTCTGTTTCCATGCACAGATCTGTCCTTCCCCAGTTACCTGCTTTTCCGTATGGTAGCCCAGAGGTGAGAAGAGGGGCTCTGTTCCTGTCTCGTTTCCTTTACACCATCCAGGTGACACTGGCCACAACCTTCAAGGAACAGCAGAAGTGATTTGCTCCCAGCGTTCTTTGCTACACAGAGTGGCAGGGTTAGATGATTTAAAATTTAATCATTTAAATTAGAAAGCATAAATTGAAAAGTCTTCATAGAATTCCGGCATTATAAGAACTCATCAGACCATCTAGTTATCCTAGAAGTATTGTTTGCTACTTAAAAAGCCTATGTGGAAAGATTGTACCATATTCCTTGGTAATAGTTTCCAATGTCTTTTTTTTCTCCAATATGGCCTTTAAAACACTCTACTTAAAAAAAAAAAAGAAAAAAGAAAAAAAAAGGCTTTAATAATACCAATACTGAGTTATCCATAGCGTTAGTCTGTTTCCATGCACAAATCTGTCCTTCCCCAGTTACCTGCTTTTCCGTATGGTAGCCCAGAGGCGAGATGAGGGGCTCTGTTCCTATCTCTTGTTTCCTTTACACCATCCAGGTGACACTGGATGCAGCCTTCAAGGAGCAGCAGAGGTAATTTGCTCCCAGCGTTCTTTGCCACACTGAGTGGCAGGGTTAGATGTTGACTCACCTCTGCTGCTTCCTTGGTGGTTTTGAGTAGCACAGTCCCTTTCTGCACATTAGTGTGCAGGCATGTTACCTGTAGGAGCCTTTTTAAAGGAGGAGCTTTGAACTTGTCCTGCAGTATAGAACTTGGCTGGCATGCTGACCTAGGGCACCCTGCGTTTTTCTGCTTAGTTTAACTGCATTTTTAGTGCCTCCTGAGTGACCCATTGTTTTCTTAGTGAAAAGGGTCATAATTTAGCACTGCTTATACAATATCCTTTCAAGCATTTCAAGGTAGTCATCCAGCCTTCTTCCAAATTTACACTCTTCAGGGTACATGGCTTCATTTCCTCATAGTGCCGACTTCTCAGTCCCCCTCTTTGTTGGCTTGCTTCTTATCAGTAAGAACCCAGCTAAGTTTCATTGGCATTTATCTAACAAGCTATTAATGCCTTATTTATAACAGGTGCACAATTTCATAAGTTGGATCAGTTCTTCATCCATACATTATACCTATTTGTATTCTTAGAATTCTTAGACATTCAAGAAATATTACCTGGTAATGGTAAAATTTTAAAATTTAATCTATTATATTAGATTTTCCTAAATCTTCATTGACTCTTCTTAAGGAAGATATATGATACACTAGTGGTATTTCTTGAATTTAGAAATGAAGTTTTAAGAAAGAGTGAGAGGCTGGCTACAGTGGCTCATGCCTGTAATCTCAGCACTTTGGAAGGTCGAGGCAGGAAGATCACTTGAGGCCGGGAGTTCAAGACAGCCTGGCAACATAGGAAGACCCTGTCTCTACCAAAAAAAAAAAAAAGAAAAAATTAGCCAGGCATGGTGGCACACGCCTGTAATCCTAGCTATTTGGGGATGCTGAGGTGGGAGGATTGCCTGAGCTGGAGAGGTCTAGGCTGCAGTGAGCCGTGATTGTGCCACTACACTCCAGCCTGGGTGACAGAATGAGACCCTGTTTCAAAAAACAAAAAATGAAGTACAGATGTAGTCTCCCTGTGTTGACCAGACTGGTGTCAAACTTGTGGGCTCAAGTGATCCTCCTGCCTCAGTCTCCCAAAGTGTTAGGATTATAGGCATGAGCCACCATGCCTGGTCTATGTTTATAATTCTTGTAGGTACAAGTGGAACCTATTGTCCATTGTGATGGGAAAAAAGTAAAATTTGTCTTAAAATATAATTAAGGAACTCTTAATTTATTAAATTTATCTTTTAAATTTTAAATTTAAATTGATTTCTTAAATTTATTCCTATTAAATTTTCTTGTAACCATGTATAACTAAGTTGTTCCACTTTTATTTTTTTGAGACAGGGTCTCATTCTGTTACCCATGCTGGTGCAGTGGTGCCATCTCAGCTCACTGCAACCTCTGCCTGCCAGGTTCAAGTGATCCTCCCACCTCAGCCTCCTGAGTGTCTGGGACTACAGGCATGTGCCACCATGTCCAGCTATTTTTTTTTTTGTAGAAATGGGGTTTTGCCATGTTGCTCAAGCTGGTTTTGAACTCCTGAGCCCAAGCAATCCACTTGCCTTGGCCTCCCAAAGTGCTGGGATTATAGGCATGAGCCACCAGGACATGTTCTACCTTTTTGAATCTCATTTACTCACTTGTAATAAGGAAATAATACTACCTTCTTCATGGGGTGAAAGGAGGTATAAAATGAAGTATACATATGAAAGCCTTTTGAAACTGCAAAGCATTCTAAACCTATATCCAAATGGGTAGTTTTAAATGTAGATTTTCACAAAAGGGGATTAAAGAGAGTAGTGGGGAGGCCCCATATTATTCCAACATGGGCTGAACTGAACTAGCATCATTGCCGGAAGGTCTTGGAAGATTAAAGATTCCAAGAAAAATGAAGGGCTTTGAGTAAAAAAAATTTTTTTAAGTGGCTGGGCCTGGTGGCATGTGCCTGTAGTCCCACCTACTCATGATGCTGAGGCAGGAGGATTACTTGAGCCCAGGTGATTGAAGCTGCAGTGAGCTATAATCACATCACTGCACTCCAGCTTGGGTGACAGAGCAAGATTCTGTCTATAGGAAAAAAAAGCAAGTGCTGGGCATATAGGCCAGAATTAAATATTTACATAATATCCTCATCTTGGAAAACTGCTTTTTCCAGTAGTGCTGCTTTTAGATTTTCCTACTACTGCAGTTGATGGTTCTTAAATGTTTGGACCTCTTATATTATTTAGGTCAGTTTCCAAATTATACAAATTATTAACCGTTGTAGTCAGACCTCATTTGAATTAAAACAATATTTTACAAACTCTGAGGGTAGATTTGAGTTAGGATTTGGATTAAAACATTATCTTACAAACTCTGAGGGTAGATTTGAGTTAGGAGTTTCAAAACTTCTTTGAACAATATCATAGTTAGGATGTAGATTTACGGAGCTACTAGCTAAAGGGAAGGACACCAGTTGTTGGGATGTGTAAGTTTGGATCTGTTGCAAAATTAAAATGCTGCCTTTTGAGCATACCTAATAATGCACATACAATGGAAGAGCCAGAATTTTTAGAAAAATGACTGACTTGAGGCTGGGCACAGTGGCTCTTGCCTGTAATCCCAGCACTTTGGGAGGCTGAGGTGGGCGGATCACAAGGTCAGGAGATCAAGACCATCCTGGCTAACACGGTGAAACCCCGTCTCCACTAAAAAATACAAAAAAAAAAAAAAAAAAAAAAATAGCCAGGCGTGGCAGGCGCCTGTAGTCCCAGCTACTCGGGAGGCTGAGGCAGGAGAATGGCGTGAACCTGGGAGGCGGAGCTTGCAGTGAGCCGAGATCGCACCACTGCACTCCAGCCTGGGCGATAAAGCGAGACTCCGTCTCAAAAAAAAAAAAAAAAAAAAAGACTGACTTGATGTACAACCTTTTGTATATCATAGAAGGAAAATATTAGTTGAATATTTTGTTTGTTTACCTGTTTGTATATATAAAACCTGGGGCCCAATATACAATAGATTCTTTTTCACTATGCTTTTCACCCAAAATGTCTCACCAGGTACTCTGTTTCTAGCCATCTATAATTTCACAGATGTTTTTCTGTAAAAGGGATATATTCTAGGCTGGGTGCGGTAGCTCATGTCTGTAATCCTAGCACTTGGGGAGGCCGAGATGGGAGGATTGCTTGAGGCCAGTAGTTTGAGTTCAGCCTGGTCAACATAATGAGACCCCATCTCTGTTTTAAAAAAAAAAAGATTTTTTAAAAAGGGATAATTTCTAGTCAACTATAAGTGATTTTAAGTAAAAAGCAGTTAAGACATGTATACATCTATACCTTTTGTAGACATAGTATAAATTCAGCTTAATCTCTTCAGTTTGGAACATCTTCCTTTCACAGCAAAAATATTGTATTTGCTTTATAGGAAAACCCCTTTTGGCCAGGTTGGTGGCTCATGCCTGTAATCCTAGCACTTTGGGAGGCTGAGGTGGGTGGATCACCTGAGGTCAGGAGTGTGAGACCAGCCTGGCCGACATGGTGAAACCCCGTCTCTACTAAAAATACAAAAATTAGTTGGGTGTGGTGGTATGTGCCTGTGATCCCAGCTACTTGGGAGGCTGAGGCACGAGAATCCCTTGAACGCAGGAGGGAGGGTGCAGTAAGCCAAGATCACGCCATTGCGCTTCAGCCTGGGCGACAGGACAAGACTTCCTCTAAAACAAACAAACAGAAAAGCTGCAGTGACTCACACCTGTACTACCAGCACTTTGGGAGGCCGATGTGGGCGGATCATGAGGTCAAGGGATCGAGACCATCCTGGCCAACGTGGTGAAACCTTATCTCTACAAAAAATTAGCTGCACATGGTGGCGGGCGCCTGTAGTCCCAGCTACTTGGGAGGCTGAGGCAGGAGAATCACTTGAACCTGGGAGACGGAGGTTGCAGTGAGCCAAGATTACGCTACGGCACTCCAGCCTGGTGACAAAGCGAGACTCTCTAAAAAAAAAAAAAACAAACAAAAAAAACACCAAAAAAAACCTCTTTAGAATAACCTTTTAGCAGTGACGTTAGCCCAAATAATTAAATTTGTCTCCTGATCTGGAGGTTTGGATTTGTCTCATCTCTCTTTCTGGTTCCTCCTTGGTTTCTACTTTGTAAACCCTTTAGGCTGGGGATCCAGTTTCTTGTCTGTGGATGTTTTATATACAAACAGGACTGTGAGCTCTTTCAGCCTTGTGCAAACATTGATGAATATCATCTGCAATGAATTATGGTTTAAGTTATTCTCTAATCAGTTTAGATGTGGCTCACTTTCTCAGGCAATCTGAGTGGGCTTTCAGGAAGTGGGAAATAAGATCTACTATTGATTGAAGAAAAGCAACCACAACACGAATAAGTCAAAATAATAGCCAATTGCTAAATAATTTCAAGTTTTTTATGTACGTGATTTTTTTTCCCTCACCAATTTATCTCCTCAGTTGTTTGGCTTAAGTTATTAGTTAAATCAGTTTTTATTGTAAATATGATAATGACTGAAAGGTAAGAAAGGATAGACGTAGTTCAGAATAAGCTGAGTGGCAGAAAGAAGCCAAAGGCTATGTGTAATCCATGGAATGAGTAATTTATAAGGAAGTAATCAAGAATTCACTGTGTATAGAAGTAAGCAAGTTCACTCATATTCACATACTGTATTATATGATTTATTATCTTTGAGATGGGCAGGTGTGGTGTTCTCCTATTACCGCTTTCCCAGGGTGTTGAGAGTTCTAGTCCTTCTATTTTCTTTTCTGGAATTACCAGTTTTCCTATGGCTGAAGGGAGAAAATACTATTTATTTTGGGATCTGGAAGTATCTTCTCAATGTTGATTTTTATATTTTATATAACTGGCTTAGTTTGGATGAGGCTTCCTTTCTGTGAATTAAATTTATATGTGACTTGATCAGAGTTGTATTTGCTGGTGAGGAGCTGCAACTTAAAGCCTTTTCACCTATTGTTAGGAAAAGTGATTACCACTTAGAACTAGGTTGAGACCTTTTGAGATGTGGGTCTTTCTTTAGCTCTCCTCAGTCTCTGGCAGTGTGTGGACTGTAATATTTAGCCCTCACACTTAGAAATTCAGTGTTAAGGGCATAATATGTAAGTTCCCAGTTCGTGATAAGGTGGGTATATGGAAGTTTCATAGATTATGTAAGAAAACTGACTCGATGTTAGTAGAACAACTGGTGTTGGAACAGAGATTTCTTAGATTGGTTAATGCTATTTATATTTAAATGTATTTAAATTGATATTTATCCTGGTGTAAGATTGCCTTATTCTTAGTTGGCAACGTTAATTTAAGATATGTAATTCTGAACTACTTTCCTCTTACATTTTTATGCCTGATAATCCAAGTGTTTACAAATTCCTACCTAATTTTTTAAAAGAGGTGCGGATTATAGTGACATGGCCCGCTTTGCCGTATAGCTGAGGGTAGTGGAGGAAGAGGCCACATGCTGGATGCTAAGTTAAATAGAGAAATAATTTATTTACACTTCAGTTTTTTTTTTTGCTTAATGAATTTATTAGAAAAGCCAACACTTTCGGAAGTGAGTTTCTGTTCTACCATGTTGAATGTTTGTAATACCACTGTTTTGTGTGTTTTTCAGGATTGGCACAGCTGCACTGGCCGTTCAGGTTGTGGGCAGTAACTGGCCCAAGCCCCACTATACTCTGTTGATTACAGGCCTGTGCCGTTTCCAGATTGTACAGGTCTTAAAAGAGAAGCCATATCCCATTGCTGAAGTAGAGCAATTGGACCGACTTGAGGAGTTTCCCAGCACCTGTAAAATGAGGGAGGAACTAGGAGAACTATCAGAGCAGTTTTACAAATATGCAGTACAAGTAAGTTGCTTTTGTTTTTTCTCTAAACCCATTTGTTTTTGGTTCCTTTGCTTTCCTAAGATACGATGAATCTGTTGGGTGGTGAAGTTTTAGGACAGTATACATTTAAATGACTTAGTAACATAATATATTAATTCTGATTTACTCTTGTCTGGGGTTCTGCCTAAATCATTCCAGGACATATTGGCCTACCCTTTCTAAAGTTTTTCCAAATGTTATTTCTACAGTTTTCCTTCTAACTTCTACTGTCTCTAAACTAGATAATTATTAAACCTAAATATTTAAAGCTAAAAAATAAAATACGCACAGAAGCTATTTGTCACTAAAATATCTAGGCACCATTTATATAAGTTATATTACTTCAGAAGTCAGGATCACATTGTCTAGCAGTAACTATGGCAGATCAAGCCTGTGGTAGGCTGGTTTCAAGTATGGTTAAAACCTTCATTAACTAGAATGCTGGGAGGGAAGCACATTTTAGATATGCATTAAATATTTGACTCCTTAATTCTAGTTTTTTTGGTTAACTCTAGATAGAACAGAAAGCTCCTCTTCCCACCCCATTTTGTTTCAAACCTTAATGAAACATATAAAATTATAAAGTATAGTCTACTTTTCTATTAATATAATCCAGTGACTATAACTAGATCTATGAGGATCAGATGTTTAAAAGTTTCTATTATAAATACTACTGATCACTGAAATATGTGTAGGGCAAGTGTTCATAGCCTGTGGTACTTGTATCTGATATGGCATTTGAAGAGCCATACTTAGAGTGTAATGAACAATAATAGAAAAATAGAAAATTTGAGGGCCGGCTGCAGTGGTACACGCCTGTAATCGCAGCACTTTGCGAGGCTGAAGTAGGCGGATTGCTTGAGCCCAGGAGTTTGAGATCAGCTTGGGCAGCATGGTGAGATCCCGTCTCTACAAAATGTACAAAAATTAGCCGGGTGTGATGGTGCGTGCCTGTAGTCCCAGCTACTGGGGAGGCTGAGGTGGGAGAATTACTTGAACCTAGGAGGTGGAGGTTGCAGTGAGCCAAGATTGCATCGCTGCACTCCAGCCTGGGCAACAGAGTGAGACCCTGACTCAAAAAAAAAAAAAAAAGAAAAATTGAAAATTTGAATCTGTAATTTCTATGAGAGCTGAAAAAAAGGACTTTGAGGAAAGAAACTTCAGTTTGAAAGCTGGAATAGTGAATATACTGCTTTGGAATAAAGGAGATTGAGACAAATAGAATTTCTTTTTCTTTTCGGCAGTGATGTTCGCTGGGTCTTTGTGCTTCTGTTAGACATAGCCTCTTTCGCATTGCCTTTACTTCTTTGCACTTTGAATCTAGAAAAACCTTTTAAACTTTTAAAGATTTTACAGTGACATTAAAGGAATTTTTAGAGATAAATAGATCACCACACATGTTACTATCATCACGCATCAAATTTAATTTTTGTTAAATTTCATATTATGTTTTGTTTTTTTATCCATGTCTAAGGTTCATATTAAGTACTTTTATTAATTTCATTGAGTTAATGTATACTAATTTTGTAATTTCCCTTTTTAGACATTAAGTTTATTTCCAATTAATTATTCTCTTTCATCCCCTTCTGCATCAACTTCTACAGCCCTCTTCAATGGACTTCTTCAATAGCCTCTTGTCTCCTAGTTCTTCGTCTTGAACCTTTTCTCTTCACTGAGCCTTTCTAAAAGAAGTTTGGGGCATCCCTTTCCCTTGAATAAAAGACTTTAATGGCTATAGAATGAACACGAAATTTCTTAGTATAACATTAAGACCGTTTGCAACTTGTCTTGGGCCTATCTGTCTTGCCTCAACTCACCTCATTGACACCCTAGTTCTAGCTCTACTGAATGTAAAACAGCTTCACATTGAGTTATTTCATGTCTCTATGATTCTGCCTTTGGTTCTCTGCTGGGAGTGCTCTTCCATCTCTGATTTTTTTTTTTTTTTTTTGAAACGGTGTCTCGCCCTGTTGCCCAGGCGGCTGGAGTGCAGTGGTGCAATTTCGGCTCGCTGCAGCCTCCGCCTTCCGGGTTCAAGTGATTTTCCTGCGTCAGCCTCCTGAGTAGCTGGTATTACAGGCATGTGCTACCATGCCCGGCTAATTTTTTGTATCTTTAATAGAGACAAGGTTTACCCATGTTGGCCAGGCTGGTCTCGAACTCCTGACTTCATGATCCAACCACCACCACGCCTGGCCTCCATCTCTGAATTTTAAAATTGAATCTATGCTTTTCCAACAGCTGTAGGCTGTTACCGCTCCTCTCTCTGTGCCTTCACAGTCTGTCATACATGTAATTTAACATAATGCTTATCCCATTGTATTGAAATGTATCTTATAGGTATTTTTTCTCTACCAAATTTGAATTTGTTTTTCTCCTTTAGCCATCCTGTACTGAGCAGTGTATTGGGTCTGGCAGATAGTTTGTACTCAGTAAATGTTTGGAAAATGAGTTTTAACTGTTTTATTTATTTTCATAGGGTGAATTCCTAGTAGTAAGGGTATTCAAATTTTATTATCTACTTCTTCCACCTGAACAGCATCGTAATTATACTTTAACTCCCTTCATTCTAGGCAGGTAATGGATAGGTTCCAAAATTACAATGTTGTTGGAGGGGTTTGATTATTATTAGCACATGAAATCTTATTTGAATTGACTAAACGAGGATTTGGTACATCATTTATGAATTAGTGTGAACTAAGTTTTGCTGTGTTAACTTCTCTGAAATCTCAGTCACATGACATGAGTGTCTTTCTGGCTCATGCTTCATGCCTGAGATTAGTGGGGGTTGTGTCTGCCTATTAGAGTCACTTGGACCCAGGTGGATTGGAGATTCATCTCAAGACATGCTTCCCTTATCTCTGAGGCAGGAAAAGGAAATGGGACGTATTTCTCATTGGCTTGTAATGCTTCTGCCCGGAAGGAACTGTCACTTCTACTATGTTTCATGGGTCAATTTAAAACTCTTAGACACACCTATTAATATATTTGAAGGAAGTTAGAAAGAGCAGTGCCCGGAAGAAAAGGGGAGTTTGTCAGTAGCCCTAATGACTATCATAGTTACTGAAAGTGTGTCTTGGGCATAATCTGTCTTAACTCCCAGATACACCCTGACAGTTGTCTTTCTAAAAATTATTCACAGTCAGTGCTCAGATTCTAGTTAGTCCAAATTGATATGGTTTGGCTGTGTCCCCACCCAAATCTCACTTTGAGTTGTAATAATTCCTGTGTGTCAGGGGCAGTGCCAGGTGTAGATAATTGAATTATGGGGGCGGTTTCCCCCTTACTGTTCTCTTGGTAGTGAATAAGTCTCACAAGATCTGATGGTTATATAAATGATAGCTCCCCTGCACACGCTGTCTTGCCTGCCGCCATGTAAGACAGGCCTTTGCTTTTCCTTTGCCTTCCTCCATGATTGTGAGGCCTCCTCAGCCATGTGGAACTGTAAGTCCATTAAACCTCTGTCTTTTATAAATTACCCAGTCTCTGGTATGTCTTTATTAGCAGTGTGAGAACAGACTAATACATACATGTTATACTAAATATTAATATTTCAGCTTCTGATTGGCCGTGATAATATCATCAACTATGCTAAATTTCTAATAATACACATATTTCTAATAATATGCATCTAATAGGGGTTATATTGTGATTATGTAAGAGAATATTCTTGTTCTTAAGAACAAGGGTCCTTAATCTGTCACAGGATTAGAGATTTAAAGAATAAGGATTTCGATTCTGCAGCTTATCCTCAAATGTTTATTAATTATGTGTGAGTGTGGAGAGAGAAAGCAAACGTGGCAAAATGCCACTTTTCAGTTGGTGAATTCAATTCGTGAATCTGGAATAAGGATATACAGGAGTTACTGTATGATTCTTGCAACTTTTTTGTACGTTTGAATTTTTTTCAATAGAAAGTTAAAAATAATCATGGCACAAGTTTACAAAGCCTTTGTAAACATTAGTATTAACTACTTTTGAGCCATTATTGCTTTTCATTCTGACTGACGTTTTGAAAGTACTTTTCTTTTCCTCTGAGGCCTGTAAAATACGTGGACTATATTAATCAGTGATCTTTCAAAAACAAAGACTGAGGCCCAAACATTAAACCTAGATGGAAATCTGATTTTTAAAAATTCACAAATAATGCCAGATTTCATTTAAGAGACTTTTTTTCCCCCTTCTAGTTGGTTGAAATGTTGGATATGTCTGTCCCTGCAGTTGCTAAATTGAGACGTCTTTTAGATAGTCTTCCAAGGGAAGCTTTACCAGACATCTTGACATCAATTATCCGAACGAGCAACAAAGAGAAACTCCAGGTACAGTGTTCCCTTCTTGAATGCCAGGTTGCTTTGTCACTTTTTATTGAGATCTAGATAGTGAGTAGTTAAGTTTTGACCTTCAAGAAAAAGATATTGGAGACCCAAAGTAGTTGAAATGCTTTTACATTTAAGCTGACTTTCAAATGTGATTGTTTTATATTTTTGTTTACACAAGCATCTCTTTTATTTGTATAATCGGTACTAATAGTCAATTTACAGAAAAAGTTAAAGCAAAGAATCATAAAAAGGTCAGTATTTGGCTGCGTGCTCACGCCTGTAGTCCCAGCACTTTGGGAGGCCGAGATGGGTGGATCAGTTGAGATCAGGAGTTCAAGACCAGCCTGGCCAACATGGCAAAACCCTATCTCTACTAAAAATACAAAATTAGCTGGGCGTGGTGGTGCACGCCTATAATCCTAGCTACTTGGGAGGCTGAGGCAGGAGAATCGCTTGAACCTGGGAGGCGGAGGCTGCAGTGAGCCAAGATTGTGCCACTGCACTCCAGGCTGGGCAACAGAGACTCTGTCTCAAAAAAAAAAAAAAAAAAAAAAGGGGGTGAATATTTAATTTAACTTAACTATGTAGACATTCTTTGATTCACTATTTTTAAATGTGGAGCCATGGCCCTTCCCTTATGTGTGGACCTGCTTTCTTAGAATCTTCATGATGTTTTTTATATAAATCACACCTATGATACATTACTTATAATTTTAAATTTATATTTATTTAAAGTGAAATGAATTTTAAAGACACTTAAAAAGTAATCCAAGTGTAGAATCCTACATTTACATGACTTAATCTCCAAACTGTAATACTTTAAGTTTTCTTGCACACTTATTTTTAAAGCAATCTTTTTTACTGAATCATCCTAGAACATTTGTTTGTTTTCAGTGAAACAGCTCTTTCATATGTTATCAGTTTATTTAATACTTAAATCCAACTGTTATAATAGCAAATGCAACTAACACAAACAGGTTGGTTATACACAGGAATTCAATTAAACCGGTGGGAGCAGAGGAGTTACGGGACTGCCAGAGAGCCCCCTGGCTGTGGGCGGCAGCAGTGTGTTTTACTGCAGGAACGGAGAGCGGCCCGTGCTCCGACAAATCACTAGTGAGAGTTGGTTCAGTGCTTCTGTTGTCTTGTGTATGTAAACATTTAATATTTTGAACTTATAATTTGTTTAGATCTAATATGAAAACACATGCTGGGCTTTAAGAGAATAATTCCCAGAAAGAGTTGACGTCAACTGTGTATCTGGTTTTTTTAATCTTAAAAACACACAGCTTCATTTTAAAGTGAAAAATCAAGATTCTGTTTTTTCTTTCTTTTTTGAGGATTCTGATACTCATCTCAAACAACCTTGCTGATTAATATAGTTCATTTGGGTTGTCTTAGCCGTAGTGTAGCTGTGAATACTGGTAAGAATTTTTTTTTTTTTAACTTGGCAATTCAAACCATGGCTCTGACTGCCTGTTTTTGGATTGTGTGTTTCTGAGAGAGATCCTATTAATTGACTCACATTTCCTTAGATTTTAGATGCTGTGAGCCTAGAGGAGCGGTTCAAGATGACTATACCACTGCTTGTCAGACAAATTGAAGGCCTAAAATTGCTTCAAAAAACCAGAAAACCCAAGCAAGATGATGATAAGAGGGTAAATATTTATTTTAATCCATTTAAGGTTTGAAAAAAAGAGGAGAATAAAGAGAGGAACAAAAAAGAAAAGTTTATTGTCTCCTACCACTCGCATTACTGATAAAATTTAGATGTTTCCTTCTCATCCTTGTCTTTGCCTGGATTTATTTTTTAAAACATGTAAGCATTTTTCTCACTTTGTTTTGGTTATCGTCCAAAAGGATAATTTACTGAGCCATTTCCCCTTTTGTTTCCAGTGTTTTGCATATTGTAAACACTAACAAATAACTGTGATGGGTGTCTTTGAGTGTCACATTTTTTTACTGCATGTAGTATTAAGGAAGTAATACAAAACTGTTTCTTAAAGGGACTGTATGTTGTGTCCGAAATTTGGCTGTTTTCAACTTACAAGAGGTTCCATTTTTATTTGGTCAAACTCTTGATCTTTTTTGTTTTCTAAGTTTAAGTCCTCTAACCTCCAGTGGCTTGATAAATATTCACTTTCCTTTCAGTTTGACTTTAGTTGATTTTTTAAAAAGTATTTAATTCTTTAACCCATATATTATTTTGAAGACAGCAGTTGTATTTTTCCTTCAAATAGCTTTTTATTTGACTCAACACCACTAATTAAATAATCCTTCCCATCCCCATTATCATCCATTACATTTATATGTATGATGGGATCTGTTTGAAGTCTACCTTGATCTGTTGATTTTTCAATTTTTATGTCTGGACAGAGTTTAGATTAGGAAAATATATTTGGTATGGACAGGATGTGAAAATGGCAGTTCTTTGAAGGCTGTTGGAGATGCAGAACTCTGACTTAAGTGAGGTGTTGAGAATTATGTTAGCAATTTGATGTTCATCAGTACAGAAGTCTTGTCATCAAAGAGAATACATTGTAGAGGAAGCAGAGCAGAAGGGAAGAACTCCTCCCTGGTGGTACTGGAGAAGGGGCAGTAAAGTAGGCCGAGGAGAGAGAGGGAGGAACAGTGATCATCATGCTGGGGTTTAGTACTCCAGGACACCATGCTGTTTAAAACATGCAGAAAACTGAATTATTTCTGGCTTGAGATCAGATTAGGGATTCAATTACTCATTTTGTGTAGAAAGACAAATCCACTGGGAGTTGCAGAAAACTTCAACTTACTCTCAATAAAGGTTGCCATCACTTAAAATGAAAGTTTTTCAAAAGTGCTCCAGAAAATGATCAAACAAGAGATAGTTATTTAAAAAGTAGGAATGAGGATAATATTTGGAGTTAGCCTAAAATTCTGTCCTTTTCATTCCCCTAAGAGTTGAAAAGCACTGTTTTAGCAGTCAGGAAGGAAAAATGCATTAAAAAGTGCTTTTGTCTTAACAGTGAAATCACTGATATGCTTATAGAACTCTCACTTTTAAAAATATATATAATATGTTCAGTTTTTTATTTATAATATTTTATCTGCTGATGACTTATATAAGAATAAAAGCATATATTTAGTACTTATGTTTTTATAAAATTAAATTTTTATTTACTGCTTTATATTTTAAACATTTTTATATTTGAATGTATTAAATAGATAAATTTTCCAGGTTAAAAAATAAGTTCTGGGCTGAATGTGGTGGCTCACACCTGTAATCCCAGCACTTTGGGGGCTAAGGAAGGAGAATTGCTTGAGGCCAGGAGTTCAGGACCAGGCTGGGCAACATAGTGAGACCTCTACAAAAAAAAAATTTAAAAATTAGCCAACATGGTGGTGTGTGGCTGGAGTCCCAGCTACTTAGGAAGCTGAGGTGGAAGGATTGCTTGAGCCAGGGAGGTTGAGGCTGCAGTAAGCAGTGTTGATGCCATTGCACTTCAGCCTGGATGACAAAGCTTAACCCTGTCTCAAAAAATAAAATGTTCTGGGGGCTTTTAAATTAAATGCTAGTATATCATTTTGCTCCAGTAATGGTTGTTTATTCATGAATTTCAAGGAGCACATAAGGTAGTTTTAACATATGATAGAGAGATCATAGCGGAGAACACAAAGGCCATTTGACTTTGCACAGAATATGTTTTTTAGATTTGAAAGAACAATTTTGGCAGGATGGGAACAGATGCCAAAGGCTCACTGAAGTGATTGATGAGGTAGGGGATTTGGTGGTTATAGCCACTTGTCACAGAACCTCACAAGAAGGGAAGTAAATAGTGTGGTAGTTAACTAGAAGGAACTAGAGGTAAGAAAAAATATTTTGAAAGCAGGAAAGCTTTGAAGACAAAATAGAGCCAGTGGTGGAAAGGTTGAAGATGCTAGGAAGAAATTTTGTAATGTGAGAGATAAAATGGAATTTTTTTCAGTCACCAAATGGTAAGAAGTAATGTATTTCAAGAAAATAGTGGCTGCAATAGTAGCTGAAAGAAAGATAGTTCCTAGTTGGTTTAATCATTTCTGGTATCCAGTTCCTTGAAATTTGTTTTCTCATGCACATATTATTGTAAGCATATACCAAAGAATCATGTCTACCTTATGCTGGTCTGCTTTCGCAATTCTACTGCCTCTCTGTATACAACCGCCTGAAGTTCAGATTATCATTCTGAGCTTCACTTCCTAAAGCTATAGACTATAGTCATAAAAATGTTTATTCAGCACCAGTCATAATCTTATGTGTACCTGGGTACTATTTCCAATTTATTTTGACATACGGTTTTACTCTTCTGCTTTCTACATTAGGTTATAGCAATACGCCCTATTAGGAGAATTACACATATCTCAGGTACTTTAGAAGATGAAGATGAAGATGAAGATAATGATGACATTGTCATGCTAGAGAAAAAAATACAAACATCTAGTATGCCAGAGCAGGCCCATAAAGTCTGTGTCAAAGAGATAAAGAGGTAAATTATAAAAGGCATTTGTTCATTATTGTACTCCTGATTAACATTCTTAGTACTCCTGATTAACACCACTTTCACTGATCTTTTCTCAAATACTGAGGATACATGGTGCAAGTCTTCCACCTGCAGTGTGCTGTCAAGCATTATAACTCTTGCAGCTGCCTTTTTGTTGTCTGAAAGAACAGACCATGCTTCTTTGTTTATACGTAATGTTTGTTCAGTTAGCATCGTATTCTTCACGTGACTTTTCTTCTCTAGATTATAAACTCTCAAAGGCAAGGACTGTCCATTTCTCTTCGTACAAGACAAAGTACAGGGAAACCTTGATAACAGAATAGGATATGTGGGTTGATTACATTTTCTGGATATCCCCAGTGTTAAACTGAAAGCCATTTTTCCTTTACATACTTTTAACTTTATAACTCTTATTCCATTTTCTTTTATTAGTGAATTGTAATGAGCCTGCTTGAATGCTTAGTGACTTCATATTTGACTTTCTGAGGCTCACAGTTAAGAACATTGGTAATTGTAGTTGATGGGTATTTTATATTGCCTCTGACATTAGTTAATATATATAGAACACTTATGGACCGCTACTGGGTTGAAAAGAGTGTAAAGACATAATAATATCCAATCATAAATAACTTATAATTACATTCAAATGAGTATATGATATTAGCTTGCTTTTATGAGGCGACACCTCACTCATCTCTGATACAAAAGAATAAAATTATTGTATTACGCATAGTTAGGCACTTACATCTTACTGTGATAAGTAAACCGATGGATATGTGTCACTTGACTATCCCTGGGAGCTCAAAAGGGACACACACTAGTGAGGCCATATTTCCAGGATAGAATTAGATATACTGTTTTCTCCTGCAGTTTGCAGGTATCTGCCTTATTTTGTTTTGTAAGTACATTAAGTACGTACAAAATATGAGAATACATTGTAGAGAAAGCAGAGCAGAAGGGAAGAACCCCTCCCTGGTGGGACTACAGAAGGGGCAGTAAAGTAGGCTGGGGAGAGAGAGAGGAGTGGTGATCATTACATTACAAAACAAAATAAACGTTTTATTATCTGGATACTTTCAAACTTTTTCAGATTTGTTCAACTAAACATGCATGATATATCTAACCAAGAAAGAGAGCTGTTTGATTTTTCTGTTACAGAATTTTTCTGTGTTCTTGAACAAGTTTGCTGTGTATTCTTTCTCCACAGACTCAAAAAAATGCCTCAGTCAATGCCAGAATATGCTCTGACTAGAAATTATTTGGAACTTATGGTAGAACTTCCTTGGAACAAAAGCACAACTGGTAAGCCAAAAAATTACACCTTTTTTTGCAGTCTAATTGTCACTCAGAAAGCTCATGCAGTTTTTCATTTCAGATTTACTCCACTGATTGTCTTACTGTTATTTTTGTTTTCAATTTTTTTGAAACCATTTTATTGAAGTGTGATTGGCATACAAAAAGCTGTATATATTTAGTGAATACATCTCAGTGAGTTTCGGAATAAGTATACACCCATGAAACCATCACAATCCTCATAGCCATAAACATACCCATCACCTCCAAAGTTTCCTCCTATGTCTTTTGTGATTATTATTATCATCATTATTATTGGCTTTTTTGTTTTGGTGCTGGTGGTGAGAACGTTGAACATAAGGTCTAATGTTAAATTAACAATATTGTTAGTGATAGGCACTTTTCTTTGTAGTAGATCTCTAGAACTTATTTATCTCGCGTAACTGAAACTTTGTTCCCTTTAACCATCACCTCCCATTTTCTTCTCCTCTCATCCCCTGGCAACTACGAGTCTACTCTCCATTTCTATGAGTTTGACTATTTTAGATTCCACATGCATTAAATAGATGAAATCATACAGTACTTGTCTTTCCGTGTCTGGCTTATTTCACTTAGCATGATGCCTTCTAGTTCCATCCATGTTGTCACAGATGGCAAGATTTCCTTCTTTTTTAAGGTGCATAATGTTCCATTGTATGTCTATACCACATTTTCTTTATTCACGTATGTATCAGTAGACATTTCAGTTGTTTCCGTATCTTGGCTGTTGTAAGTAATACTGCAGTGAATACGGAAGTGCAGCTATCTCTTTGAGATCCTGATTTCAGTTCCTTTGGCTATTTACCCAGAGGTGGGATTGCTGGATCATATGGAAGTTGTTTTTTAACTTTTTTAGTAACTTCCATACTGTGTCCATAATGGCTATACCAATTTACATTCCGAACAACAGTGTACAACGGTGCCCTTTTCTCCATATCCTCACCTTCACTGGTTATGGTTGGTTTGTTTTTTTAAATAATGGCCATCCTAACAGGCATAAAGTGCTTTCTCATTGTGGTTTTGATTTGCATTTCCCTGATTATTAGTCATGATAAGCACTTATTTGATTTTTTGGTGTTAAGTTTCATGAGTTCCTTATATATTTTGGATATTAACCCCTTATCAGATATATGGTTTGCACATATTTTCTCCCGTTACATAGGTTGCCTTCTCATTTTGCTGAACTTTTTTTTCTGTACAGAAGCTTTTTAGTTTGATATAATTTCACTTGTTCATTTTTGCTTCTGTTGACTTGACTTTGGTGTCATATCAAAAATACCATGCCCAGACCAATGTCAAGGAGCTTTTAAAATATATTTTCTTCTAGGACTTTTACAGTTTCAGGCCTTACATTTAAGTCTTGAGTCCATTTTGAATTAATGTTTGTACACGGTATAATATAAGGGTTCAAGTGCGTTCTTCTGCATGTGGGTATCTGTTTTCCCAACAGCATTTTTTTGAAGAGACTGGCCTTTCCCTGTTGTATATTCTTGGTGCCCTTTTTGAAAATTAGTTGACCTTCTAGCTAACCTGATAGGGTTTATTTCTGGGCTCTCCATTCTAGTCCATTGGTCCGTGTGTCTGTTTTTGTGCCAGAATCATAGTCTCTGATTACTGTAGCTTCATAATATAACTTGAAGTCAGAAAGTCTGGTGTCTCCACGTTTGTTCTTCCTCCAGATTGGTTTGGCTATTCAGGGTCTTTTGTAATTTCTTATTAATTTTAGGATTTTTAAAAATCTATTTTTGTGAAAAAATGTCATTGGAATTTTAATAGGGATTACATTGAACTAGTAGATTGCTTTGAGTGGTATAGATATTTTAACAACATTTTTCTAGTCTATGAACATGTAATATCTTTCCATTTGTTTGTGTCTAACTTCTTTCATCAGTGTTTTATGATGTTTAGTGTGCAGACCTTTGACCTCCTTGGTTAAGTTTGTAGTTAAGTATTTCATTCTTTCTGAAACTATTGTAAATGAGATTGTTTCCTTAATTTCTATTTATTCATTAATTTTTTTGACATGGAGTTTCACTCTTCTCACCCAGGCTGGAGTGCAGTGGCGTGATCTTGGCTCACTGCAACCTCCGCCTCCCAAGTTCAAGTGATTCTCCTGCTTCAGCCTCGCAAGTAGCCTTAATTACAGGCACCTGCCATGATACCTGGCTAATTTTTTGTATTTTTAGCAGAGACGGGGTTTCACCATGTTGGACAGGCTAGTCTTGAACTCCTGACCTCAAGTGATCCACCCGTCTCGGCCTCCCAAAGTGCTGGGATTACAAATGTGACCCACTGCGCCTGGCCCTTAATTTCTCTTTAGAGAAAGGTTTTTTTTTCTTTTTTGAGCTTTATTGAAGTGTAATTGACATAGAGTAAACTTCACAAATGTAATATGTACATTTTGATGAGTTTTGACTTATGTATACATCTGTAATATTATCACCATAATTAAGATAATGAGTACAACCATCACCTCCGGAAGTTTCTTCATGCTCTTTAATAATCCCTTCCTTCTTCCCTGCCCCTTTCCTCCTTGCCTCCTAATCCCCAAGCAACCACTAAAGATTAATCTGTATTTTCTAAAATTTCATATAAATGGAATCATAGAGTATGAGCCCTTTTTTCTGGCTTCTTCAATTCAGCATGATTATTTTGAGGTTCATCCATGTTGCTGTATATAACAGTAATTTGTTTCTTTTTATTGCTGGAGTTGTATTCTGTTGTATGGATATACCATCATTTGTTTATCACTTCATCTGTTGATAGACATTTGGGTTGTTTTCAGTTTTTTTGGCTATTAAAAATAAAGCTGGCTGGGCACAGTGACTCACACCTGTAATCCTAGCACTTTGAGAGACCAAAGTGGACAGATCATTTGAACCCAGGAGTTTGAGACCAGCATGGGTAACATAGGAAGACCTTGACTCTGTTTTAAAAAATAAAATAATAAATAAAATAAAAATATTTAATAAAATAAAATATCAAAAAATAAAGCTATGGTGAGCTGTGGTAGTAAATTTATTTTTTAATTTATTTAAAGTTTGCATGTCATAACAAAATACTACCTTTTAGTTGAAAGGAAACATTTCTTGGTACTCTGAGATGCCATATGTGTCAGCACTAGAGATGTATAGCAGCCATGTATCCATCATGAAAATAATTCCATTGTTTAGCATTTCAACGAAGAACTGAAGATGAGTAAATTATGGTATAAAAGGAGTCATGTTAAGCTCCTAAACCTTTGCTACATAGGATTATGTCTAGATAATTGTGAGTGTGGTTATAAAACCATGACAATGCCATTCATATATATATTTTTGAGACGGAGTCTCACTCTGTCGCCCAATCTGGAGTGCAGTGGTGTGATCTTGACTCACTGCAACCTCCGCCTCCTGGGTTCAAGCAATTCTCCTGCCTCAGCCTCCCAAGTAGCTGGGATTATAGACGCTTGCAACCACACCCGGCTCATTTTTGTATTTTTAGTAGAGACAAGGTTTCACCATGTTGGCCAGGCTGGTCTAGAACTCCTGGCCTCAAGTGATCTGCCCTCAAGTGATCTGCCTGCCTTGTCCTCCAAAAGTGCTGGGATTACAGACCTGAGCCACTGAGCCACTGTGTCCAGCCTAAATATCTTCATTTGTTTGTTTGTTTTTTGAGATGGTGTCTTGCCCTGTCACCCAGGCTGGAATGCAGTGGTGCGATCTCGGCTCACTGCAACCTCTGCTTCCTGGGTTCAAGCGATTCTCCTGCATATCAGGGATTACAGGCGCCTGCCACCATGCCCAGCTAATTTTTGTATTTTTAGTAGAGATGGGGTTTCACCACGTTGGCCAGGCTGGTCTCGAACTCCTAACCTCAAGTGATCCTCCCACCTCAGCCTCCCAAAGTGCTGGGATTACAAGTGTGAGCCACCAAGCCCAGCCCCCCATTCGTAATTTCTGAAAGAGAAGTTTACCTACCAAGTGGAGATCTCAGATAGTAACTGAAAGCAGAAAGGAAAGCAGAGAGGAAAGAGCTGTAGGAAATATCTTTGCAGATTTTCCCATCTCAGAGGAGTCAGTAGATACCATTTCAATCTTCCAATTATAAATAGGGAAATTTATATTGAAATTTGAAATTTTTTTCATGTAACCACATGTTATTCAAAACAGGAAGCCTGCTTTCTGAATCATTAAAGAGAATAACTAGAAAAATATGTCCTGTATGGAAAAGATAGAAAATAATGTATACAGCATGGAAATCACCTTTACTTAAAAGATTGAAAGAACTTTTAAAATTATCTTTACTTGGCATATTTCTTGGAAGAAATTTCTTCACAGTGTTGTGTCTTTTCTAAATTATCTTGACTTTTATTCTTACCTTACTGAATGTGTTAATCATGAATGGATAATGCATTATAACAAGTACCTTTTTAGGTACAAGATGATATTTTGATGGAAACTTACTCTTCTTGGACATGATGATATTGATGACCTAACATTGAACCATCTTTGCATAACTAAAATAAATCCCACTGGGATTTAGTAGATTATTCTTTATAGATTTGATTTACTAGCATTTTAATATTTACAGCTATATAAAAAGGGATGTCTGAGGTTTTCTTTTATGTTTACTGTGGTAGGTTTTAGTGTCAGGGCTAGCATTGTGAAACAATTGAGAAACTTTCTATCTTTCACTTCTTCATATATTCATTGGTTGGGTTCTGGAGCCAGGAAAGGGGGAAGAAATTTTAGTTTTTCTCCTCTTGCATCACTCACCTAGGACTCTGACTAAAATCAATAGTACTATAATTAAATTATATAGTTTACTGCTTAGCTAGGTTTTTGGGGGAACTAGCTTGGGAACCAAATTACCATCTCAGGCCATTTTTTTCCTTTATGAAAAATCCGTAGCAAATTCTAGATAATTAAAAGAGTGTGTACTAATTAATTAAAAGATTTGTGTGTATTTCTCTCTCCCATCTTCTTCTTTCACTGCCAGCATGATCATGTGGCTGTGTATTATCCTCTGGCAGCCACCCATCTAGTGAATTTATTTTGGCTTCTGTTACCTGGTGTTTAATCTGAGTATTTTAAGTGCTGAAACATATTAGTAAACCTGTTGAAAGCCTGGCTTTAGAAACAAAGCCTAACTCACACACTTCTGGTGAGACTTTGATACAACTTTCTGTGTGGCAGTTAGGCAATTCTTTACATCATTTCTTTTTTTTTGACCCAGCACTTCTGTTCATAGAAGATAATCTCAAAGAAATCATTGCAGATATATGGGATGATTTAGTTACAGTGATGCACAGTTGAAGCATCTTTTATAAATGTAAAGATGTATAAACAACTTGAATGCTCAGCAGTAGGGAAGTAGTTAAATGAATATAGATAATTAAGTAATGGAGTATTAAGTAGCCATAGAATGTTACTGATAAATATATGTGTGAGAGTGAAAGTTGTCTGTAATATATTAAGTGAAAAAAACATTTTACAAAACTTAAAGGCCCCATAAAATCCCATTTTGAAAAGTAGGTTTGTAAATGCACGCACACAGCCTGGAATAACACATACTGAAGTAAAGGTAGTGGTGATCTCTTGGAGGCATGAGATTATGGGTAACTGTTTTCTTCTTTTCTATTAGTGTATCAGCTTTTCTGGAACGAACATATATTACTGCTGAAATAAGGAAAAAAATCACCCTTTTTTAAAGGGAACAAATGCCAGCACACATAGACTATGTAGAAATTATATCTTCATAAGAAGTAATGCATAACTAGAAAATCATTCCAAATAAAATGATATGAACATTTAATTTTTAATTGTGTAGTCCCTGCTATCTCTGGAGACACTAAGTCTTAAGCAGAAAAGCCAAACCAAGTGCAGATCTCCTAGAAGCCTCATTTAGAAGGATCCAAGTCTGTTCTTATCATATCTGTTTTCGGAAAAAAATATTTTGCTCTCGTTATGCTTGAAAGGAGTTCTTTAACTTAAAAATTTTATGTGTTCTAATTATTTCTGTTGGGTTATTTGACAGACCGCCTGGACATTAGGGCAGCCCGGATTCTTCTGGATAATGACCATTATGCCATGGAAAAATTGAAGAAAAGAGTGCTGGAATACTTGGCTGTCAGACAGCTGAAAAATAACCTGAAGGGCCCAATCCTATGCTTTGTTGGCCCTCCTGGGGTTGGTAAAACAAGTGTGGGAAGATCAGTGGCCAAGACTCTAGGTCGAGAGTTCCATAGGATTGCACTTGGAGGAGTATGTGATCAGTCTGACATTCGAGGACACAGGTAGAACACTTCTGTCAGTTTAATCTCTGATTCCTCTTTCTTTTTAATTGACTAGAGCTCCCTAAAAGCTTAGGCATAGCATACGTCTGTTTTCTTTAAAGGGCTATTTGTGGTACCTTCAATGGAAAGGACATTTACAAGACTTACCAGCTAGCCTAGAGCCTCTAAGCACCCAAACTGACCTTGATTTTGTTTGGCAGTGGATACCTACTCTGTGCCTCAGCTTTCCTGGAATCTCATTTGAATGTAATTATAAGTTATTTATGATTGGATATTATTATGTCTTTACACTCTTTTCAACCCAGTAGCGGTCCATAAATAACCTCTAACTCTTAAGAGTTAAACAAAGTAACTGCAATAGGGAGGACCAATAGGAGGAGGTAGGAAGTCTTTGATAACAAGCTTGTTCTGATTGCAATCTAAGCTTCCTTTTATGAAGGTCGGTTTGTATTATGAATATGAGTAATAAGGATAAATGTTAGCATAATTATTAAGGCTTATTCTTGCATTTTGGACTCACTTTCTATCAAAAAAACAATAAACTGTAAGAACTGTCTCTCTAGGCTGGGTGCAGAGGCCCATGCCTGTAATCCTAACACTTTGGGAGGCAGAGATGGGTGGATTGTTTGAGCCCAACAGTTTGAGACCAGCTTGGGAAACATAGGCAAACACTTTTGTCTCTACAAAATTTATATTTAAATTTTAAATTTTAATTTTTGTCTCTACAAAAATTAAAAAATTAGGCAGGCACAGTGGCATGCACCTGTGGTCTCAGCGACTCAGGAGGCTGAGGTGGGAGAATCATTTAGGCCTGGGAAGGTCCAGGCTGCAGTGAACCATGATTGTACCACTGCTCGCCAGCCTGGAGACAGAGACATTATCTCAAAAAACAAACAAACAACAACGAGGAAATTGTTTCTGATTCATCTGACATTATTAGAATCAGATTTGCATGTTGCATTCATTGTTCTCCCTGATCTCTCTGTTGATCTGATGGAAGATGCCTTGGGAAGGCATGAATTTACATTTCATGGTTTAAGGGATTCATAGCAATTGTAAGTTGTGAGAAAACATACCTATAGTGTATGTGTTAAAGAACATGTTTAAATGTAGAAACCATAAACTGCTTATAAAAGAATATGATGCTTTTTAAATATCTTGTTCTCTATTTGCCTTATTTAAAGGGATCCCTATCCATAGACAGGGATGGGAAACTGTTTCAGAAACTTTTCTATGAGAAATGGTTATTTTTATTCTCTTTTATTTGCTCACTTAAAATTCTTATGCATTTAAAAAAAATCATTACTGGCCTTGTGTGGTAGCTCACACCTATAATCCCAGCACTTTAGGAGGCTGAGGCAGGCAGATTACTTGAGCTCAGGAGTTCAAGACCAGCCTGGGCAACATGGTGAGACCCCATCTCTAAAAAAAATAATAATAATAAATTTTTAAAAAGAATCATCACAAGATTTTAGTAAATAAACAATGAGGGGTGCAGATCAGAGTAGAGAATTGATTTGGGTGATTTCTTCTGGCAATTTCAAAAGATATTTTTGTTGCCTAGACTTCTTATTCTTGCATGTACCACTAGAGGCTGTAGTTTGCTTTTGTAAAGGAATTGGCATTTCTCTTGGACCAAACTTAAAGAAGCTGCGTCTAGGGCCTAAATCTTCTCATTTTAGCTACAGAGTAAGTATTTGATGGCATTTAGACAGTGAGTTTGTGGAATTATATGAAATTGACATCATAAGCACATGACACGTAGGTAATTTGTTCTGTTTCTTTTCACATTGGTATTGATTATTTGATAAGGCTTGGAAAGCACTTATTCAATGTCTGACACACAGCATTCACTAAAAATTAGCTTTAACCATTTAAATTCTATTAATAAATTCTCAGGAGGACAAATTTAGATTTACAAGCTTCAGTATGAGTTTTTATAAATTTCAATCTGATTTTTTAAATTGCCTTCTAAAATATTTATCCTATTCTCAGCATTATTGCTTAATTTATATGGCAGAATTATGGGAAAATGCATTTTTCTATTGCCTATTAATGGACAATGTATAGTGTCATGGTTCTCACCACTTATGAACATCATTGGATTAAAATAAATCTCTGTTTTAAATCCTTACTGACATATAAAATTTGTTTTTTTTTTCAAGTGAATATGCTTTTGTGTGTGTGACTGTATTAAGAAAATTGAGCCTAAAGAAAATAAGACTTGACTTTATGAGTCTTGTAACAGGAGGTCATGTTACAATCACCATTGCCTAAAATATTTGTAAATATAACCTTTTTAGAAACGTATATATGGAGGCTATGATGGTTGCTGAGTAAAAAGTATCACGATTTGTTTTGTGAATCATTTTATTCAGCCTGATTTTAGATACACCTTGCTGGTAAGTGTTACTTAGCTATCAGTGTACCAGATGTTTGATTAACTACTACAGCAACCTGCCCTTGTGCTGTTGGGGACGTATTACCCATCTACCCCGTAAATTATTAAAGCCTGTAGAAAAATTTTATTTCAAACCCTGTTTGGAAGCACGTGGAGAGTAGTGGGGTTCAGTTGTTGAGGAAAGGGTGAGGGCAGAGCATGCACTTAGGTCAGTTATGAATTGAAGGTGAATAGGAGGAGAAGAGAAAGAACAGTTGACGATTCCAGCACAACCGTGGGTGTGCCTGGGGGAACATGTGGTTCCATGTGACAGTTGAGGCATTTGGGAGACAACCCAGGTCTTGGCATTTGAGTACCGGTCACGTGCTCACAGTTAGAGTTCATGAAAAGTTTTGTTTTTCCTTAGCCTCTGAGTAGGCACCACTGTTCCGCAGTCTTAGAATCGCCAAGGAAAAAGAAAGCTGCTTTGTTACTGCACTTGCTTATCCTTTCGATTTTGCCACTCACTCTCCCTGTTTTTCCATGTGTAGAACCCTGGCCTCTTGCTGAAAGTATCTGCGTATGAGAAGGAGGATGCTGATAAGTTGGGGATTTATTTTAAAAACAAGCAAAGATATATTTTTTAGGGTTAAACGATAATGAGGTGGGAGATGGGGAAGTAAAAGAAAGGCTTGCCTTAACATTTAATCCTACACTTGGAAAATAATAGTGATCTGACTAAACATTGGCTCATTTTTGTCTATATTGTTTTGAGTAGCTTAAAGGGAGAATAATGTTTATACTATGTATTAACTCATTCAGTTTTTCAGTCTTTTCGACATTTCTCATTTGGGTTTATCTCCACTGTGATTTTTCTGTCCACTTTATAAGCCACAAAATACCCATTCTCTTCTATCAGTTTTAACAACTTAAATTTTTATATTTAAATATTACATTTAAGTAATGTAAATCAATTCACACAAATTAAATATAAAGTAACTTCTTTTAAGATGAAGTTTTATGAAATCATGTTTGCATAATTTTTTTTCATTTGTTCTTTGGTAAAAAATAATATATTACTGTTATGATATATCTTAAATCACTGTTGATATTCACTCCTAGAAATAATTTACCAGCTGTTTATTTAGATAATAAAATTATATTATTGTGAGAAATCCTTGGCTTAACTTGCAAACAAGATGAGAAGAAAAATGACCTTGTGATTTCCACATTGATACATTTTCATATGTAACCTGAAATGGTAAAGTTATAAATAAACTGTTTCATTATTAGTTTCTACAAGGGAAAAATAACTGAAGCAGCAAGCTTCTAATATATTTTTTAGCATAGTGTACCAGATATATTATGGTTTGCCCACTATCCTTTCAACTTGTATTTGCATGCAGCTCTTCTTTGCCTCTCCAAAACTTAGGTTTATTTTAAAGACTCAACCCAAGGCTTCCTCCATTAATGTAAGTGCAGTCAGTTATGATTTTACTCTTCTCTAAACTGACCACCTGTTGTGCTCCTTTATAGAATACGGGCCTCTGGCATTTCTACCATACAACTGTGGAGATGATACATAAATACGTTTATAAAAAGTACAAGCTTTCTCAGGCAGGGGATTTATTATATATCTTCTTTATGTACCCCATGATGCTTATTTAACATAGTGCTAAATGTGGTGAGTGCTCTCTAGGTGTTTGTGAATTCATATAAAATTAAAACATAGTATTTTGGAAGTTATGCAACCCTTTAGATGAGTACACCCATACAAGTTAGTCTATAAAAAGATTTAGTAATGACTACCAGAAGAAGAATTGCGTTTGTTTAGACATGCTATTAAACATTAAAATCCCAGTTTCTTAAAGACTATCTTTCTTTTTGAGATCATTAGGATCTTTTTTAAACTGATTACTTTTTCGAGTTTGAGATACACACACACACACACACACACACACACCCACGCATACACCCACACCCACACCTACACATCCACACACCCTTGGTAGAAAATATGAAAAAGGAAAAATGAAAAAAATTCTCATGTTTTTCTATCATACAAAGATAATCACTGTTAACATTTGTTTTGTACTGCCAAACTTACCATTGGATTTTAAGTAACAGAATTGTAATCCTGTCGTTTTCACTTAACATTGTAACACTTAAACTCTTTTATATTCCAAATTCTTTGTAAATTTTATTTTAATGGTTTGCATTATAGCCTGAGGGAGCCCTTTAATTGAATAGGTAGGAAGAGTGGATGGTGAAATGCCTATGTTTTTCTCTCTTGTCTGCTATAAAAGACATTTGCAAAAGTTGCTTCCATGAGGCGGAAATTGAACTGGGACTCAGGTGTACAGATTTCTGCTCTTGTGCTTTTTCCAGGAAACCAGAAGTAAACTTGAAGTAGCTGTTGCTAATAACGATGAGCATCTTTGGAAAGCTCACTGTATGCCAGGCACCGTGCTGTGTGCTTTACCTGTGTTCTCTCGTGATCTTTATATTAATATAACCCACCAAGTTGACACTATTATCCCCATCTTATAGGTGAGGAAACTGAGGCTTAGGTCAAGTAATTTGCCCAAAATAGTATTCAGAGGCTTGTACTATGTTACCTTTAGAGTGTTGATGGAAAGATGCTTTGAGTGCTGGCATGGTGGATCTGGTGGGGAACAGTCTTACAGCTCTATATCTAGCCACTACTCTGTGGCGAGACCCCGTCTCTGTCATAAAAGTGCTCACTGGCTCTTTAGAGGAGGTTATTATACCCATGAATAAAAACTAGGTCATAAGTAACCATCAGATGAGTTATGGGGGCAGTAAATGCAGTAGACGTTGCATTATTGGAGCAGTCACTTTGTGAGAGGTAGTCAGAAAAAGTTTCTTAGAATTGTTGGGATTTACATAAGCAGGAAGAGGAGTATTAAGGGCAGGAAGGCACCATATTTTTAACAAAGGTAAAAAGTTTAAGGAGCATAATAGGATCTTGATTGTGGATGAAGCAAGAAAGTAATGGCAGCAAGTTGGGGAAGATGAATGGGAGCTGGATTGTGAAGAGCCTCGAACTCCAGACAAAGGAGTTTGAACCTTATTACGTAGGCTCTGGGAAGCAATGGAAAATGTAAGAGGAATTGCTTATATACAGTGTGAGTAGAATCTAGGATTCCACTTTTTTTAGAAAGGGTGCCTACCTAGAATATTATTTTCTCTCCGTAACTTTAGGTGTAGAATTGTCAGTACCTGTTTTTAAAGTTTACTCATCAAAAAAGGAAAGGCAAATAAATAACTGCAGCAAAAAATGACCTGTTAGAGGCTTTGAGATTCTCTTAAAAAATTCCCTTCCCTACCACTCTTAAAAATCAGAGTAATGGCAAATCTGTAGGTTCTCTAGAAAAATAATTTGAAAGAATTTATTAATTCTGAGTCTTATCTTTCCTGTATCTGATTCTGAAATCTTGAATGTGCTAATTCCTTATATTAACAGGACAATGTTTATTGCATTTGCTTCCCGTGGTCACCTTTCCCAGATGAAAGGCATTCCCACGATGTTTTTAAGGCTTGCTTGTCTTTTCAAAGGTCACTCTGTTTGTTCTGTCCTACTTTATACCAGTCATGTGGCAGAATTCAGGCCTGCTCTGTGAATCCGCTTTGTGCAGATCATGAGGTAACTGCGGCTGTTCCACTTCTCGTTGATCATTTTCTTCTCGGCAGTCAGGCTTTTATGCCTCTTCAGAGACAGCATTTGCTTTGCACAACGTAGACAGCAAGGTTATAATTAAAATTAGTAAATTGCTGCTTTCAGTTTTGCTGGCTTTGTAAAAAATGCACCTTTTTTGGTTTGATAAACATATGTGTTTTTATTTCATGCCACAGTCTACATCTGTCATAATTGTATGGGTGATTCTGGTCCAAATACGATAAAGCACGCTCTCACATTTTAACATTCAACAAAATACCTGGCTGGCTGAACGTGATTATTGCCAATTAGTGCATATGGGATGAATACAGTTTTGTTCAAAATGACAGAATAAGAATAATGGAATTCTGATATAAATACTGTTGACCCCAGATCCTCGTACTATAGTTAACAGATTATTGCCTCTGAAAATAAAAGAGATTGGAGTTTTTCTTTTTTGTTGTTGTTTTTGGTCTACATTCTGAGTGGCCCTTTGAACCGATTTTAATCTCCTTCATGAACATGATGATGTTTTAGCTGGCCCTGGGGCAGCCATTTCAGTGTATATAAAGGTGGTTGCGTTGGGTAGGGAGATGCTCTGGAAAATCATGGAAAGCTTGGGAATTCATAGGGCACTTTGGACATTTTGGAATCTTGAAGAGTGAGAACCGTAACTGGTGACTTAAGTGTCATGTTTCTTCATTTCACCAAATGGCAAATGTGATACAGTTCTTCCAATATCATGGGCAACTTGTAACCATAATTAAGTAGAAGATAAGGTTGGAATTGAATATAATAACTTTTGATTTTATCATAGTGCCTTTTAAATACATAGTACCTCTTTGCTATATTATGGTGATAGCTAAATGATCTTTTCACATTCGTAAGTTTCGATTTCTGTATGGCGTCGCTCCTGCCTCCTGACATCTCACACTGTGAATGTGCTGCTTGCTTTCTCTAGGCGCACCTATGTTGGCAGCATGCCTGGTCGCATCATCAACGGCTTGAAGACTGTGGGAGTGAACAACCCAGTGTTCCTATTAGATGAGGTTGACAAACTGGGAAAAAGTCTACAGGGTGATCCCGCAGCAGCTCTGCTCGAGGTAAGATTTGGAAAATTCCCTGTCTGTCTTCATACTAGAAGAATATGGAGGAAGGTTGATAATCATACTCAAATGATATACACAGTGGTGTAGCTTTAGTTACGGGAAAAACAGTTTGATACCGGCTGAGGTCTGAGCAATTTGGCACTTCAATTAAAATGTTTTTGAGATTTCTTTCACTAAGTCCCCTCCTTTTTTCTTTTCCTTTTCTATTTTAATCAAATAGTTTAACAAAATTTTGTGCACACTTGTTATCTAGAGACCAACAATTCTACACAGTTATGGCAAAAAAAAACAGCAAGCAGGTCTCCTCCCTGGGGTCCTCCATGCCCTCTTCTGCACTGTGACCTCTAACTTTTAGTTGATTAACCCTACTTTCAAAATAGCATGGCTATCTTGCACTTCTTGGTTTTTGTTTGTTTGTTTGTTTTTTTAGTTTTTGTCATTTTCTATAGACTCCCCCCAACAGGAGGTGAAGATTTTACCTTTTTTCTTCCCTTGTCCCCGCTGTATCATTTTTATACCCTAGATCTCACAATAAGACGTTTTCCTTGTTTCTGTTACATCCATATTAGTATTTACATTATTCTGATTATGTAAATGCTTTTCACAGCAGGAGCCATGTGGTAAACTATGATCAGTTTTCCTGTTCCCGTTTTTGGTTTTCTCTCTGTTTTAAAAATCTTTTCAGAGTTGTCTTGTTTCTTTTGTTTGCTTTTTCATCAGTTGTCTAATTCTGTCAAGACATTCAGACACTTCGGGTGTTCTATCCATTTTATCTTCTTAAGTGTCCAGTCTGAACCGGTTGTTTTTGACATCTGGTTTTATGGCTGCCTTCCTAGGTTCTCCCTTCACCTCTCACCGTGTTGGATTTCCTGTCTCCCGTATTCCATTTCTTGCTCTTTCTTGGTCCATTCCCTCATTTTTGTGGTGTTAACTCCCTGCTAGTTTCCCAAGAAAGCTTGCATGAGTGGTAAATGTTTTAGACTTTGCATATCTGAAAATGTCTTTATGTTTCCCTCATACTTGATTGGTAATTTGAGTATAGAATTCTGGTTGAAAATAATTTTTCTACAGAATTGTACTTTGCCTCCATTTTACTTCACTTTCCCGTTTCAGTGTTGCTGTTGGTAAGACTGATTCCATTCAATTCCTATCCTTTCAGACCTGCTTTACCCTGAAAACTTTCAGGTTCTTCCCTTTATCCTGGAATTTTGAAATTTCATAATAATCTGCCTTGGCATGGGTTTCTTTTCATGCATTTTTGCTCATTCTTTCTTTGAATTCTTCCTTTTCTTTGGTTCTAAAATGTTTTCTTAAATTCTTTTATTGATGATTTTTCCCCTTTATTTTTTGAAACTCCCATGACTTGGATATTACGTTTCTGACTTTCCTTTCCTTTCCTGTTAGTCGCCACTGTTATGTTTTGCTCTGCTTTCTGTGCGGACTTTCTCAGATTTATCTTTTAAAAACCCTCTGAGTTTATTATTTTAAAAACTTTTTTTCTCTGCGTGTATCTATCTGCGTGAGAAAGATACTTATAGATATTTTTTAAAATTTTACTTCTCTTACCACTCAGTATATTAAAAAGAAAAAGAAAAAAATTACTTCTCTTTAAGCTGCTTTAATCTGTTTATTATGTATTTCTTTTAATCTCTGTCTTTTATATAAGAGTCTTTCATTAGACATCTGGACATTTTTGTTTGTGTGTTTATATTTAATAGTAAGGAACAAAAAGGCTGATAGGAGGCTATGAGCATAGGAGTGGGGCTTATCAACAGTGAGTTCCACAATAGAGTGGCCTGGCTGGGCTGTTTGGTTGAGGAATCTTCTACTCAATAACTTTAAGTCTTCCTTCTTAGGATGGTCAGATTCCTCAGAGAAGACTCTTCATGTCTCTTGCCTTGAGAATGAAGGCCATCATTCTGGGAACCCAGCAGGGGAAGAATGATTGAGGTCAGGGGTATCACTGCATTCGGCATCTGTATATATGCATTCACCCAAGCTCTTGTTTTCAGCATAGTATATGTTCTTCTCAGCTGTGCCCGGAGTCCACTGTGCAGAGAACCACTGTTTTATGTTCTTAAGAAAATAAACTTCCAGTGTTTTGCTGGGGTCGGGGAGAGGATCTGGGATCTGACTGCTTCGTAAATTTATTTCAGCCAGTCCTCCTTATTTTAGCACATCAGCCCCTCCTCCCTTTTACCGTTGCTTAAAATATTATTAATGCAAATTGATTTGCAACCTTGAGGAAACCTTACTTTGTGAAAGTTTTTATTTTTTTCTTGTTTATTTCTGTGCTTTGAGCTCCCTCATGCTTTCTGTTTTTTTCTGTTTTTATGATCTTAGAACAGGATGGCCTGGGACATGTGTCTTATTAAGCAGGAGACCATACATTCTGGTTTGTCTGGCACATTCCCAGTTTATGCCTAATATTAATTGCACTCTTTTTAAGTCTCGGAAGTGGGTTTTGTTTGGATGATAAAAAAGTACAGTTACCTTACTTAAAAGCCCCGGTGTTTGGAGGTAAGGGTTTGATTTGGTTTAGTTTTGCTATTTTTTATTGTAAGATCATTACCTTCTGGCTCCATAACTGGTTTACTCTGGTTCATTTTACTATGAAGAGTAAAATAGTGAACATTATTTAAGATTTTAGTAGTTTCTTATATAGTATCTTTAGACTTTCAGTTTAATTTATATTGGGACATTTTTTCAGGTTATCTGACAGATTGTCCCATTAGACACTTATAGTTATCCTGTTGAAAAGAATTTTAGAGTACTCCCCTAACACTTAAATTTTTTCAACAACTGTTTTGAAGCAAGTTCACCAAAGACAGCTTTACAAGTAGTAGATGATTAAGTCCCCTGTTTATTTGTTCAGTTGATACACACTGTTTTAGGTCTTCACCTATATATACTTTGTAATGATTCAATAATATTTGTTAAATTAATCATTGATAACAAGCAGCTAGCATAATGATATTTTCTTGTCTGACGTAGACCTTGGTACTCACTTTTTTTGGCAGTCGATTTATTAGCATTCAAAAAAAAAAGTATGAAAACTTCAAATGGTATCTCAAAGTAAATGCCCCTGGGCCCACGTACTAATCACTGTAGTTTAGTTATGAATAGCATCAATTCCTTACAGACTATAAATGCTATAAAATGAAGCAAGACATACTTATGGAGGAACTGAGTATCTTGGTACCTGACATCCTCTTCCTCCCTGCTTGCCCAAGTCCTGGGTAAAAACCTCAGACCTCACAGATTGTTGAAACAGTTAAATAACAATACATGTTAAAGCACTCTATAAGTGGTAAAGTACTCTACAGATGTTACTTTAATATCCACTGATACGTGTCCATTTTGAAAGCCACTTGCTGTTTCCATTGCCAGTAGGTTCACTTAAATTTAAAAAAAGAACAAATTCAATTACACAACACTTTACATTTAAAGTGAATATTCCTGAGAGTTTGAAGACCCAGGTATAGTTTTATTATCTTTCCACATAGAAAACCTACTTTAAAAAAATGATATCTAGATATTATTTGTAAAATGTATAAGATTATTTTATGTTTAAGCTAATTTATATTATTAAGGTAATATAGGCCAGATGTGAAGAATGTAATAGTAGTGTATATTTACACTAGAGTAATTACTCTGAATAAAGAATAAACTTTTTCTGCTGTATATTCTTCTTTTTTTTTATGAAGGATATGCCCATTTCCTTGATCTAGCATGTAATTGTTGCTTATGTAAAACAATGTATTTCAAGTTATTACTTAATATTGTCCAAAAAAGGACTATTCAAAATTTAGATATTATCTTTTGAAAATTTATTGGAAGAATATGAAAATAGGTCCAACTGCTTAATAAATGGTGGTAGACAGTAGAATTTGGGCAAGTCTGTAACTGAGTAGCACTAAAATATTAGCCATAAGGAAAGTAAGGGCTTATATGTAGTTAACAAACTTGAAAGAAAATTACAGAATTATTTTCTTACCAGATATATGTTATATTTATAACTGGCACATGTCCAGACTTTATTGTTAAATATGAATGCATTTCTCAAATACATTTTTTGTGTGAATAGGCAAAAAAAAAAATGCATGGATACTATAATTAATTGTCTGTATAGGCAATAATATTTACAGTTCGTAAAACATATATTCCCCAAAATAGAGAAGTCACTAGTCTAGATATAGTAAACTTGCTTTAAAACTGAAGTTCTTACTTAATTGGAATTAGATACAGTTGGTAATTAGATCAATAGTATATTTACTACTTAGATACAGTAGACATATGATCTTCTGATTTGTGCTATATAATTATTGTCAAAGAATGTCGGAAGAGAGGGACTTAGACATCATCTAATCCAGCTTCATCTTCTTAAGGATAAAAAGCTTGAGGCCTAAGATACTATTTTAATTTTTTATTTCACTACATGCTATATTAATGATATAATTTCCAAAAATCAAATGGAGTAAAAAAATGCCTTAAATAAGGCATATCTTGTTTTGTTGTGTTGTGCTTCATTGTACTTCACAGACTGTGTTTTTTAACAAATTAAATGTTTATGGCAGCCCAGGCGCAGTGACTCACGCCTGTAATCCTAACACTTTGGGAGGCCAAGGCGGGTGGATTGCCTGAGCCTAGGAGTTCAAGACCAGCCTTGCTAACATGGTGAAACCCTGTCTCTACTGAAAACACAAAAAAATTAACTCAGCGGTGTGGTACATGCCCGTAATCCCAGCCACTCAGGAGGCTGAGGCATGAGAATCACTTGAACCCGGGAGTCAGGTTGCAGTGAGCCGAGATCACACCACTGCACTTCAGCCTGAGTGACAGAGCAAGACTCCGTTTATGGCAACCTCGTGTCGAGCAAGTCTGTTGGCACCATTTTTCCAACAGCTTACTTTCATATCTGTATGTCACCTTTTGGTAGTTATTGCAATATTTTAACTTTTTCATTATTATATCTATTATGATGATCTGTTATC